TTTTTATCACAATTTTGAAATACTCGTAGAAAATGGTATTGTATTTATCTCATTTTAATTGAAAAATAGTTCAGACAGAAAATTGAGGGGAAAAATTAAAAAAAACTCACCAGTTTGATCTGTTAAATCTATAGATGGGTCATCAGACGCCATCTTAAAATCTCTGATTTCAAATTTTAAATATTCCTCATCGTCTTTGATATATCTTTCATTAAATATTTTACCATTTATTTCATATTTTTTGTCATAATTTTTTATGTCTAATATATTTTTTTTATCTTCCTTACTCAAAGTGTCTTTTATTGAACTCGTTTTCTCAAAAACTGAATTATTACTATCTTCAATAACACTATTTTCTGTGTCTATATTTGACATTCTGAAAAATATAAAAAAAATCACATTTAATAAAATCCTTATATAGTACAAAATTAACTAAGGAAATTTCTAGGTCATAATTCGAATTCTGTTAACCCCTTTAGCTTTAGGGTTCAGTGGTACATATATAAACACTAGAAAAACCTTATTCTAGAAGACCCTATTGCCCATAATCTAGAGACTTATCTAATAATAGGTTGGTGAAAACGGGAGTAATTTTTTTTATTTTTTTTTTGTCAAAAATTTTAAATAATAGTCAATTTTTACTATACTATAGTTTGTCTAAATAAAATAGATTAGTTTGATAAATGACGCATATGAAGTATCGAATTCAATTTGTATGAAGGCAAATGCCATACTTAATAGACAGGTATCGTAGTGAAGAAACAAACACGCAGCGAACAATTTGGAACTGTCGATATTCGGTTTAAATAATTATCGAACTCAACTAAAAATTTTATTTTCTGGTTAACTAATTTAGAGGACAATTCTAGTATTGAATATAGTGTGTATATATACGGCTGTAGTAGTAATAAACAATTATTTACTCTCATTATTTGTTATGGTCATTATTAATTTGAGAAAACAGTGTTTTTTTTATTCATAAGTTATAACTATAATACTATCGATTCAAACTTCTATAAGAATAAAAATCGAAAATCGATAAGATTCATGACTGATTTTACACAACCCATCCCTACTAGATTTGAAATGAATTGTCAAACTAATCTAAATTATTTAGACACACTATATTTACTTTTGTTTCACTTTTATTCCACGGACGGAGACGCGGGAAAAATCTAGTTGATTACATTTTTTTAATAAATTAAACTAAAAAAAAAACATCAACTGCCGATAATTTTTTTACCAATAATAGCAAAAAGTTTTTGTCTAATTGTTGCAGCAATAAAATTCTAAAATAAAATTTACCACTGAACAAATATTAAAAAAAAATCTCACTCAACTAATATATCGAACTCTCAAATTTTTTTTTAACAACTAACATACACTAAATATAATTTCATTTTTTATACTCAATTCTTATTTATTTATGTAATTACATATAATTACTAGATTACTACTGTAATCTGTAATACTTTACAGGCCAAATTAAAATAAAAAAGTCAATAAACATTTTTTACAAATGCAAACATCATTAATGAAATATGGCTGATGCAATAAATTTCAAAGTTAGTAAAAAACACAAATTAATTAAAAAACTTACTTTACTCCTACAATACTCAACAAAAGAATACAAATTAAAAAACATTACTCAACATGGCTTTAATCATTTTTGAAAAATCGTTCAATGGAGATGGAGGTTGAGAAAGACCGAGGAAATTATGTATGGATTGTGTAAAAGAGGATATACAGTAGAACCTTGATAAGTTAAAGTCCAAGGGAAACACAAAACACTTTAAGTTATAGAGGTTTTAAGTTATCAAGAGTCTATGTTGTAGAGGTTTTGGGCTCTGATAGGAAGGGACCATATTATTTTTTGATGTTATAGAGGTTATTATGTTATTGAGGTTCTAATGTACTTAAGGGAATGGATTTAGATATGACGGCTGATAGAGAAGCAAATATTTTTTTTAAATATACTATTCTTTTTAAAAAACATACTGTGCCAACCTTTTTGTAGGGACAAGGGCAAGTTGATAAGGACAATATCAATAGAAATTAGTACTGTCCCATGAGAGCGTCGGTGGCTCAGTGGTTTAAGTACTTGAGTTGTAATCTATAGGTCTTGGGTTCGAATCCCGATGCCATATACTAATGTGATTTTCGATTTTTCGAATTTTCATATGTACATAATTTACCCGACGTTCTTACGGTGAAGGAAAACATTGTGATGCCTACACATATCAGCAAAGAAATTAAAAGATATGTGTGAAGTCAACCAACCCGCAGTGCAGCGTGGTTGATTATGGCCTAGTCACCCTTACTTTAGGGTAGGCTGCGAGCCCAATCATTGGGGATGTGTAGTGAGCTGGGGATGACTGTCCCATAAACCCGCTGTTTTTCATTTCAAGAAAAATTGTTTTGTGCATTGCAACAAGCTAAACTCTGCCTATTATTACCTAATTAGATAGCAGTAAATGCAAAGGAAAGAATAATAAAAAAAGAAACTGTAAATCACTGACTTTGTATATCAAGATACATTTTTAAGCAAAGTTATATTGATTTTTGTTCCAAGTCTTGTTTCAAAATGTTTAAAATGATTATAGCTTTTAAGGAACACCGCCAGTTGCCCAGATTGTACAAACAAACTCACATCACTCTCAACCTGCCCTTGTCCCTATAGAGCATTATTTCACAACATTAGGTCACACACTCTAAGCTATTTAAATGCAATGCTGAATTTAATAAAAAAAAAATCTCAATAAAACATTGAAAATAGTCTTTAGGCATATTTAAATTTGTAACTAGTGGACATTTAATGTTGAAAATGATGTTCGAAGGCGTAAAAACTTTAAGTAATTTTAAGAATGGCACAAAAAAGGTTGAGAAACTGCTAGAGTGATGGTACAGTTGTGGATATCTGCAGTTTATAATTTACATATATTGCATATATGACTTCTTACTGACCAATTAGCTATAGTGTGTCTAAATAATTTAGATTAGTTTGATAATTTATTTCAAATTTGGTAGGGATGTTTGTGTAAAATCAGCCATGAATCTTATCGATTTTCGATTCTTATTCTTATAAAATTGCAATTGATTGATTTATAGTTATAACTTATGAATTTAAAAAAAATACTGTTTTCTCAAATTAATGACCATAACAAATAATGAGAGTAAATAAATGTCTATTAAGTATGGCATTTACCTTCATACAAAGTGAATTGGATACTTCGTATGCGTCATTTATCAAACTAATCTATCTTAGACTATAGCAGCCTTTTTTGAATACACTTGAAAGCTGCATCCTGTTTTTTAGTATGTTTTGTCTCAATGCATTTAAGGGACTGTAGGATTTAAAGTGACACAGACAGATTCCCCAACTGTACACTGCCATATATCTCTAGCTATCTTATTAAACATGACTTCCCTCCCGAACTTATTAGCACACAGTACATGCAAAATTACTTGTCTTCCTTTGCAGCCATTATTCAATGTTAATATTTCCTTATTTATGCTATCATCCTGCTGATATTTAAAATATACTAACCTTTTGCTCCTCAATCAAATATACTTTCATATTTCCTCTATTTTTTTAATATACAGTTGATTGATTTGTAAAAAAACATAAATACTTTAATTTCGAGATTTAAAATATTGACAAAAACCTCTATCTAAAAGTTTATATATTACATTATATTTGTTAATGTTGTTCTTTCTAGCATTGGTAATAAATCTGTTGGAGTTTTTATATGTTTGTATACTGGCAGGCAACACTGTACACACTAAGGATGGTTTTTTAATATTAGAATAATATATAATTTAAATTATTAAGAATTCTACATTTGATGAAATATACAGTGACTTCACATCTCGACACGGAACAAGTAACATTGTAGGACTAATAGACATTGTATAAAATATGGTTCAGATATTTTAAATATAATGATGATTAACTAGAAGAAAGTGTTTCAATAGCCCCACACCTCCAGAGCCCCGGACGGAGGAAAGTAACCGTCCAACAAAATCTATCAAAACTTTTTAACTTTGAACTTTTGAAATGAATAAAAATTTTGTTTTTATTATGTCGTAGTTTTCTTTATTGTAATCTTATTAGTGAATATTTAAATAAAAGCATGGCAATAAAAAATACTTACTTGAAATTGGTGAACGCTGTATATAAAAGTTTTATAAGAACAACAAACAAAACAGATGTTATCACGTCAGTTACAAAATCAATGAAGATATCATAAACTACCGACATGATAGAAAATAATAACTACTTTATACGCAACATATTGCAAATGAGTAGCAAATTATTTGATGATTTACTTTATGAAGCTAGAAATATTACTTGAAAATTAACATAACAAAGATAAATGACAAGGATAGCGGAATTCCCGAACGATGAACGAATACAACTGTAATGTTGCCATTGCCAATGCCTATTTGCTATATTAAGCTAAAAATAATAAAGTCAGGTTTCTTTCATTTACCGATTTTCAAATTCAATCTAGCATTCAAATGTTCATAGCTAAACTAGTACGTTTTCATAGGAATGCTAAATTAAAATTTTAACTGTAAAATATAACATCATAGTTTTTCTTTTCAAATATACTTATATCTATATTTATAGTTATTAAATTGGTATCAGTTATGTAGAAAAGAAAAATACCTGTTTTGGTCAAGTGATTAACAAACGACGATGATGGTATGATTAGCAAATATATTGTCACTAGGCAGGTGAATTCCCATCATTTGAAATGCATTTTAAAACTCTATACTCTATGTAGTAAAAAGGCCAAAGCCAACAATGCATGCATGATTCAAGATTACCAGTATAAAAATATTATAACCTATTGGAAAAAAATAAATATTCGGGGAGATTTCCAGCGTAGACTTCGAGGATCTCGAGGAAACTATCTGGCAGCACTAGTCAACAGTTACTACATATGCAGTATTCTATCTGTGCAAATTACACAATCTGTATTTGACGTGAAACGTCAACGTCAAAAGTAAATATACTTGGATGCGCTTTGGCGGGCAAAAGTAAACGAAATAGTTTTGTTTGTAGCAGATATTAAATCTTTTAAATGTTATTTATATCTCTGAAATTATAGAAAAATGGCGCTTATGAGTTCATTTGATGGAATAATTGAGGAAATACCAGGTAAGATTGTTTTTTGGCATGTATGAACTTCTATTGAACATGTTTTATTTTATATGATTTTGACTCGACAGTACGACTTGATTATCGGACATTAAAAGTAGACTTTATTCACAATTGTAATTTTAATTTTTAGCCAATCATTGCTTGTATAAAACAATTTTAATTACCTAAATGCTATTAAAAATAAAAGTGTTCGTAAATATTGAAATGTTAGTGAATATGTGAATAGATTTAACCAAATTTATGATATCTCAACCTAAAATTTCTTGAAACTGCTTTTTACATAAAAAATATATTTTAAAATAAATTTGTCAAAGTTAATACATTTTACAAGGTTTTTTTTTTATTATTTTCGTATTTTATTATTAAACACCTAATTAACAGATATGAACTTAGTAATACAATCATACACAAACAACAATTACACATTCTGTCTGAAGAGTATTTATGCCAGAGGCCTAATTTTAGACCTTTTCCCTTCCCCTTTTTTCTTAAAAGGAAAGAATTGGAAGAGAGTGTGGATTTGAGAGTGGAAAAAGCACATAAAGGGTAATATCTCTTTATGTGCATCTCCGTCAATTAAGGGAAGGTAACACATCCACAGTTTTGTATATCTATGGGCAGACCCTTCACCATTTTAGTGGATCCAGGAGGCCGCTTGCTCACTAGCCAACTTATAATAGCTGTTACTTGTGACTCCATTCACATGAAATTGAAAATAATAAAATTTATAGCTTAAGTTACAGATAAACCTTTCTAATGGCAAAAGTTTTTTTTTTTAAATTGGCTACGTAACTTTTTTTATTACATAAGGTGGCAAATGAGCAAGTGGCCACCTGAATCCACCAAAATGGAAAGTGACCGCTGCACATAAACATCCGCAATTGCAGATGCGTCGCCTACACTTCATTGACGGAGAAGACGCACATAAAGAGGACAATTCCCCTTCCTATGCCTAATCCACTGTCAAATCCACTTTTCCTTCCCATCCTTTCGTCTTAAGATGAGGGTGAAAAGGGAACGGGACTAAAATTAGGCCACCGGCACTACACTCATCAGACGAAACGCGGAATTGCATCCACTTCACGCCTGTTTTCTGTGTGGTCGTGGTATTGCACTGGGCGAGCCGGCCAATTCTTGCGAAGATGTTAAAGTGGGCTCTACCACTGTTAAAACTTTTACAAAAATACAAATCTTTTCTAATAATATTAGTAAAGAAAAAAAACTTAAAAATTTCCAGGTATAGCTGTGGACAATTTCGAGCACCGTCATTTGGATTCTCGTGCTTTTTTTCTCAGTCATTATCATATGGATCATGTCCAAGGCTTAGATACAACAGAATTGGCCGATAGTTTAAAGAAAACAAAGGCTTTTATTTATACATCAGAAATTACTGCTATTATTATAAACCATGTGATGAAAGGTTCTAAAATTTTAAAATACGTGAAACCGTTGGGACGAGGTAAGATTTTTTAGGACTTTTGGCATGTACACTAATAGAGGTGAATGTACAAAGAGATAGATGTATTGTGGGCTTGTTCTATTTACTAAATTTACCTAACCAGTTAGATAACAATAATTTTTTCTGTTTCCCGGCACACTAAAATACAAGTGTTCGGATACCAAACTGCTGGTACTACTTTTGAAACCACACTGCCAATTTCATTCTGTTAGGGTGCATATACTTTTTTATTTTTCGGGCCATCTATTAATATTACACATATATCTTTATTTCTTATTCTGTATATAATACATTATACAAGATTTGTATAAAAATATATTACTACTACTATGACTATTATTAGGTAAAGTAATTTTCCTTCAAATTCCAAATAGTGGCTGCACTAGATAGTAATAGATGGCCAGGAAAATAAAAAAGTATATGCACCCTACCGGTTACAAACACAGACAAAAGCCTTGTTACCTAACTGGTTAGGTACATTTAGTTGAGTAAAAGAAATTTCATCATGTCACCATTCACATAATACGGCTTGCGTATTTTGTGATAGGTGACATGATGAAGGGAGTGATGACTGAGATGATGGATTATTTGGAGAATGAAAACCTTATGCTGAATATGGGACTAGGATAAGGGAAGGTAGATGATGAATATTGTGGGCATATAGTTGTGGTATGGGCGTCACTAGCATTTTATCTAAGGGGTGAAGGAATGATCAAGGGTGGAGGAGGTAGACTGATGAACAAAGTGGGAGGGGGTAAACTGTTGAACAAGGTTGTAGGAACTAGTAGTAATTTGTAACTCAACTATAGGAATTAAAGGTATTTTTTTCCGCAATAATTTATGCACCTTTTTAATATTTTTTGATCCCCCCTCCTTTGTGGCGACGCCCATAAACAAGGATTTTTTTCCTACCCATAAGGATGTTTCATTCTCTGCTCAAAATGCAATCATGTTTTCAAATAGATTCATCAAGTTTTTGTTATGTTATCCATAATAATTGAATAAATTTCTTACTTAAACATATTGATTATTGGTAAAATAAATTATATTACAGAAACAACATTAATAACTTTGCCCGGTAAGCCAAATAAGCAACTAAAGAGGTTATTTGTAGAGGTGACCTTGATTCCCGCAGGGCACTCGTTTGGGTCCACAATGTTTCTATTTAAAACAACAGAGAAAACTGTCTTATATACCGGTGACTTTAGAATAAGGTGAGTTTTTAGTGTGAGTGAGGCTTAGGGCGCCGAGGGCCCATTGGGGCGGTCAGTGGGGCGTCGTGGTGGCAAGCGAAAGCGATCTCGTGGCATCCCACACAATGGCCAGGAGGTAACAGCGGGGTTTAGTAGGTGTCTCATTATGGGGAGAGTCCCACATAACTCTCATGTCACCGATGTGTGAGGCGTTCCTCTCTGGCAAAAAAAAAGTTTTTATAACGTTTCCTAGATTCGCCGAAATAGCGAAGCTACTATTGCCATTGAAAACGACAATTGTGATAACTCTTAATCGGAGGAGATATTCCTTATAGAAGGGACGGAAAGGAAAAGTGGATTTGACGGTGGAGGAGATATAGGAAGGGGAAATATCCTCTTTATGTGCGTCTCCTACTCCGTCGTATAAGGGTAGGCAACGCATCTGCAATTGCGGATGTATATGTAACGATCGCTTCGCTATTTCGGCGAATTACATCTTATAGAAAAAAAAATCTTACGCACTAATTAAATAAAAAGTACAATTGGGGATTTTGTCGGTGTTTGTGGTTTAGTTTTTTTTAAAGTGTGTCCTTTTTATCATGTAGTTTAGTTTCACGAATTCTAATAGCTCATTTCTCAAATCTATATAAGGAGAAACGATTTGTATTTTACTCACGAAGTCGCGGACAACATATATTATAAAATACTAGTTGTTGCTCGCGACTTCGTCTGCGTGAAGTAAAAAATAGCCTATGTTACTATGATAATGTAGCTTTTAAATTGTGAAAGAATTTTTGAAATTGACCCAGTATGCGTGAAGTAAAATAATATACTGATAATGTAGTTTTTTAATTGTGAAAGAATTTTTAAAATTGACCCAGTAGTTTTTGAGTTATTTCAATACATACAAAAATAAAAATCTTTCCTCTTTATATTAGTATGGATTGATTTGTGAGATTGTTTACGTTAATAGTATATATTTTTTAAGAATAAACGATATATCGAAATATGGAAAACTTCACAAAAATAATGAACCAATAAATATTGATGCGATGTACGTTGATACGACTTTTCTTAGAGAAAAATATGAAGATTTCGCAAAAAGGAGTGATACCGCGGACACTGTTATTGATGAAATAGAGAAATGGCTTAAGAAAGACAAAAATAATGGTGTTTCTATATATATGTATGCGAATTATACGTTTGAATTTATATTAAATAAGATATACCAACGTTTGAAGATGAAAGTGTATATTAACGACTACAAATGGGAATTTTACAGGTAAGGACTGTCACCTGCTTATCTTACTCCCGCAGTGGCGCTATAGGTTTTTGTCTTCCACATATCGGATTCCTAACCGTCAACCCGCTCTTTCACCCCGTGGGGACGGATAAAAAACAGTTTCATCCGTCCCATAATATAACTCACTATCACAAATAAGGTGACAGATATAATCGTTAATAAAATAAATGAGAATGAAAAGTTTTATCCGTCCCACCTTTGAGTCCCAATATCTCCAATAAGGTGACATTCAGACAAAAAAAAATGAGTGCGTTATTAGCAACGCAAATACATCATCTTCCCGAAATATGGAATTTTTCTTTTGATATTACAAACAGACACTCCAATCTCTACTATCTTTACTTCTATATCTATACTATTATAATAAAGCGTAAACCCACTTCTTTGTTGCCTAAAATGTCAGCAATTACAGCATGTTTATGAAAATTTTTTTTTTATAAAAAGTCCTACACTTACGTCACGCTTTAGGCTATATCTTGTCACGCCATTAAACTTATGGGGTAAATATTTTAGTTAAAAACCCTAATGTGGGAAAGAGACCATAAGTTGCTGCCAACATCAAAGAAGCAAGATCGCCAACTTTTGTCATGTCATGTCATTTTGACATTTGCAGTTGATAATTTTAAAAATGTAAACAATAAAATAAAGTTTTCATAATTTCATGCGGGTGAAGCCAACAGCTAGTTTTTTAGCCAGCGACTCAGACCGCGTGGAATTTAAAAAACCAAAAGTGAGTAGCCTATATTTCTTGCAGACTATCCTCTACATCTATACCAAATTTCATCAAGATCCGTTCAGCAGTTTAGGCTACAAACTCTAACAAACATCCATCTATCTAAAGTTTCGCATTTATAATAGTAAGGTATAGATAAAAATTCTACATGTATTTCTTTCAGAAATATATTACATTTAGTACCAAGCGTTACTAACGACCCTAATGAAACTAAACTACATCTTTGTAGTAATAAGTACGAAAGTGAAAATCATTATAAATGTTTCACAAGATTTCATGCAAAAAGATCATATTTACATATACATTTAACCGCTCAGAAATGGTCAGATTACAAAATCGACCAATCACCGATATCGCGGAAATCAGAGAAATGTTTCGACGCGTGTTTTTCAACGCATTGCTCTAGAAATGAGATTTTACATTTCGTTGCGTATTTTAATCCGTCGAAAATAATAGGTTTTCCTAATGAGTATGTGCAACCGGATGATAATAGCGACGAGGAATTTGTTCTGACACCGAAAAAAAGTTCGAAAAGAAAGAGACGGAACGATGATATCTAGTTTTAGTAAAGTAAAAAATATATTGTAAAAAAATATACATAAAATATATAAAAAAGCATTATCTTATTAAACAATAAGTATTATAGTTTAGGCTACGTAAGCAAAGAAAGCATAAATGACCCTAAATTTCGTCGCGCGATTTTGAGCTAAACTATTTAACTACGTCGTAGTTTTAGACTCCAAAAATCAAACAAAAAAATGGGACCCACCTGCAAGCATTACCTTTCGGATAAAAAAAGAATTATCAAAATCGGTCCACTAGCGGCGGAGTTATGCCGTAACACACAGAAAATAAAAAAAAACGTACAGACGAATTGAGTACCTCCTTCTTTTGGGAAGTCGGTCAATAAAATATATAAAAAAAAATAATTAAGAAGAGACGAAAAACGACTGACAAAAAGAAGAAAAATTGCAATTATTAGGACAAGATAATCAACAAATCGATGGCAAAGATTTTTTAAATAAATAGTTCTAATAATTTTTTGTTCCTATGATTGAAATTTCAATAATTAAAAATATTTTCCAAGACTGAAGAACTCATAAGTCATGTGAAAAGAAGTGATCTGATTATTAGAAAACGCAGACAAAGTCGTGCCTTTTAACTAGTCTTAATGGTTAACATTTATGTTTATTATAATTTTAATAAAATTATTTACATGAAACTTTAAATGTTTCATTTTATCCCTTTCCCCTGAATAGTACAGTAGAACCTCGATAACTTAAAAACCTCTGTAACTTTAAAAAATAATATGTTCCCTTCACATCAGAGCCCAAAACTTCTACATAATAGACCCTTGATAACTTAAAACCTCTATAACTTAAAGTATTTTGTGTTTCCCTTGGACTTTAACTTATCGACGTTCTACTGTTCAAAGAACTGTTTTGCTTCCGACTTAATCCTATCTACTAGCTGTTGCTCTCGACTTCGTCCGCATGATGTTGAAAAATAATGAAAAACTGGAGCCTAAGTTACACACTGATAACGTAGCTTTTTAATGGTGAAAGAATTTTTTAAATCGCCCCAGTAGTTTTTGAGTTTATCAAAACATACAAAAATACAAATCTTTCCTCTTTATAATATTAGTATCGATTACTAGAGATAAATACATCCTATATCAATCAGTGATGATGCCGCTTTCTAACAGTAAAAGAATTTTTTTAATTGTCCCAGTAGTTTTTGAGTTTATCCATTACATACAAAAATACAAACCTTTCCTCCTTATAATATAAGTATAGATTAGTAGAGATAAATATATCTTATATCAATTAGTGATAATGCAGGTTTCTAATAGTAAAAGAAGTTTTAAAATTGCCCCAGTAGTTTTTGAGTTATTTCAATACGTACAAAAATACAAATCTTTCCTCTTTATAATACAAGGAGTGCAGTTCTATGGTGAGTCAATCAAGAAAATGAAATAATTATTGGCTAATTATCGTTAATTACCTATTAAAAAACAAGATTATTATTAAAGCCTTAGTTTTTTAATTTCAAATTACTGAAGCGATGGCTATAGTCGTTGTTTTCTTATGTTTGTTAATACGTAAGTTAAATTTTTTATTATAAATCAATAAGGGTTAAAAAGGGGTACGAAATTTATGTTATGTTATTCAAAATTCTTTCTGTATGTTCTGATTCTTTTTTTCACTCTTTACGTGCTTTCGCCCGCGACTCCATCCGCGTGGAACTAAAATAAACAATAGTGAGTAGCCTATGTGTTCTTCCAGACTCTACACCTATGACAAATTTCTTCGGAATCTGTTTAGCAGTTTAGGCTACAAACTATAACAAACATCCATCCATCCAAACTTTCGTATTTATAATATTAGTATGATTATGATGGTTGTATTTCCCATTGGCGACGATTAGTTTTTTTTCTATGCAATCCAGTAAATACGATTAAAAAGTCGACTGGTGTTGGCGACGCCAGTCGAAGTCTAAGAGGGGGGAGGGGAGTTTGTAACTACTCCCGTAGTGTTGGCACCGGGTTTTCGGCCAAATAACATCATCCGTCATCTCAGTCACTCCCTTCATCATGTCACCTTTTACACAATACATCTCTTTCTACGTCTACCTCTCCCGGTGTACACACATAACTAACGACCACTAGCGTCGATGATTTGAAACTGATTCAAAAGACGATTCTCTTTCCAGATTGTCAAGCACAAACCAAGAAATATGTTGAAAGAGAGTAAGTATATCCATCTTATCTTCTATACATATAATAAAATTGGAATGTCTGTTTGTAATATCAAAGGGAAAAATCCCGATTTCGGGAAGACGGTGTATTTGCGTTGCTGATAACGAAAATGGCATTTAAAAATTTTTTGTCTGTCTGTCCGTAAGCCGCGTTTGCTCCGGGCAATCTCCGGAACGGCTGGGCCGATTACGACGGGACTTTCACTGAATGGTAGTTGACATAGACGGCCATACTATGGCCTAGTTTTTTTTTAATTTCTCGCTGACAAAATGGCGACGGGGCTTCTATCTCTGTAACGGGTGGACCGATTTAGACGGGACTTTGACTGGAAGGTAGCTGGTAAAAAGTAGATGTACGGGGGAATGTTATAGACGACCACTTTTTTATATTTTTTTTAAATATAAGTTGGCAAATGAGTAAGCGGCCACCTGAATCCATCCAAATGAAAAGCGACTACTGCCCATAAACATCCGCAATTGCAGATGCGCTGCCTACCCTTCATTGACGGAGGAGGAGACGCACATAAAAATGATGTTTCCCCTTCATATGCGCCTCCTCCATCGTCAAATCTACCTTTCCTTCCCATCCTTTCCTCTTAAGAAAAGGGTAGGAAGGGAAAGGGACCAAAATTAGGCCTCCGGCCAAATTCCACGCCATCGAAGTTTGCGGGCATTAAAAATAAATAAACAATACTTGATATTAAGATCGCTCAGACCTTTGACAAAACTATCGCACAGTTTAATCTCGCTTTGATTCCTATGAGGTTATGCACACTACTCGATTTTGTTGTTAAACTAAAAAGTTGAATTGACTGCAAAACTATCGCACAACTGTTGTGCGATATTTTAGTCCAAGACCGCGCCTTCACGTAAACATTTTTATAAATGTAAAAATATGTTTCACAGGCCACCTCCGAAGTATTCCAACCCAAATTTCATCAGAGATCGTCTCAAAAGTATTGTATTGAATTTTTTCTGTTATAAGTATTAAAAAAATGTAATCTTAATTAAAAAAAGCTACTTACTATTAAATTAAATAAACGGTTACATAATAAATTGTAAACATTTAGGTATGTTACTAAAAAGTGACACTATTGGCAGTTTTTTTTTTAAATACAGCTAACTTAATATAAATGCGAAAGTTTAGATGTATGTTTGTTAGAGTTTGTAGCCTAAACTGCTGAACGGATTTCGATGAAATTTGGTATAGATGTAGAGGATAGTCTGAAAGAACACACAAGCTATTCCTTTTTGTTTTATTTTTAATTTCACGCGGAGGGAGTCGCGGGCGAAAGATAGTCTTACTAATATTATAAACGAAAAAGTTTGGGTGGACGGATGGATGTTTGTTATAGTTTGTAGCCTAAACTGCTGAACGGATTTCGATGAAATTTGGTATAGATGTAGAGGATAGTCTGGAAGATGACATAGGCATGACACTTTTGTTTTTTTAAATTCCACGCGGGCTAAAGCTAGTAAATAAGATTTGAATCTTTTCGATATTTGGCAACATTTCAGATATAATTATAAAGCCATTCGTAAACGAGACATGGCAGAATCGTTTCGATAAACCGTTCCATCCAGCTTGGATGGATTACTGCGATCCGTACCACTGTAACGATTACCACAAGACAGCGTGCGGTTTAAATCGTAAAAGAATGAGATTCAAATGGTTCCAAAGTGGATGTCATATAGCGTTGAATAATTTGTGTGCAGCGTATCGCGGAAATCTTAGTAAGTTTTTTTTATAATATGATGTGGCAAACGAGCAAGCGGCCTGAATCCACCGAAACGGGAAGCGACCGCTGCACATAAACATCCGCAATTGCAGCGTTGCCTACCCTTCATTGACGGAGGAGACGCACATAAAGAGGACATTTCCCCTTCCTATACGTAACCTCCACTGTCAAATCCACGTTCCCTTTCCAACCCATTCTTATGAGAAAAAGGGTGGGAAGGAAAACGGACTAAAGTTGGGCCTCCAGCACCACACTCATCAGACGAAACACTGAATTGTTTCCACTTCACGCCTATCTTCTGTGTGGTCGTGGTATTACACCGGGCGGCCTATTCGGCAAGTCTTGGATGTCTATATCTAATCGAAAGAAAAATTCCAGATTTCTGGAATGTATTTGCGTTGCAGATAACGAAAATTGCGTTTAAATTTTTTTGTCTGTGTCTGTCCGCAAGCCGTGTTTGTTCCGGGTAATCTCCGAAACGGCTGGGCAGATTACGACCGGACTTTCGCTGGAGGGTAGTTGACATAGACGGGCATATTATAGGCTACTTTTTATCTTAATATTGCGTGGACGTAGTCGGGGGAAACAGCTAGTACTTTATACAAAATGTGCGTCTAACTAATTCGAAAGTTTAGATGGATTTTAGTAGCCTAAACTGCTGAATGGATGTCGATGAAATTTGCCATAGAAGAATACACGGGCTTATTTAATACCACGTAGACGGAGTCGCAGGCGTGACTCAGTCATTTTTAATTCCAGAATACGACATGATAGAAGCTAAGTTTTGTATACATTATACAATATTCTTGAGGTCCGGTTGTCCGGCTAGTTGTACCGACGATGAAATTAATCCTGTTTGTGCCGTCAGCAGTATTGATAATCATGTTGTTTTGTTTAAAAATATCTGCTCATTAGACACGGCGAACTGTCGTCAAGGGGTTTTACAAGGTACGTAATTATCTATACTTCTATACTAATATAGAAAAGCGTAAACAATACTTCGTGGCGTAGGATGTCAGCAATCAGTATATTTTTAATACTAGCTGTTCCCATGCGACTTCATCCGCATGAAATTATGAAAATTTTATTTTATTGTTTACATGTGTCAAATGCTCAATTACAAATGTCAACATGACATGACAT